GAATTTCTAAATATGAGATAAAAAATGTCACTTTCTATTATAAAATTAGAAAGGTAAAAAAACCGCGAAACTTCAATTAAATTTCCATAAATTTCAAATAGAATACTGGCATTTAAAGGTCAATAGGTGAATGCATCTGGTGATGAGAATAAATGTTTCTTTGCGAATTTTTCTGAAAGTTTTAGAGATTTTAATCAAACCAGATTTACGAATAAAGCTATTACATATTTTTTCCATTAATCATGCTCCATAATTGATCGATGAAGGTGAAGTCAACAACAGCTTCTAATAAATTATCGAAAATCCGAGATTTTCGACTTGCAATTTCGAAAGTCATCGTTCTTTCTTTAAAATTCAAGGAACAAGGAAAGAAAAAATGTTATAATTAAAATACAATTCGTTTAACAAATGGTTAATAGATGTATTATTTATAGAAAAAAAAAAGTTTAATAAACTTTCTATCTGAACACATGTTACTGCCTTAGTTATATTAATTCCGAGTGTGCAAGTAATGTTATTCTTATATTATCCGGAATGCGACTTTATGAATGTTGTACTGTTATTATTGCTCACGCTGCAGGCGAATTCACATATAAATTACATTAATCTAGTGAAGGTTGAAACGTATACACATATATACTACAAGACTAGTATAGACAGAAAAACTTTTATTTCCACTTAACAATTTTACTTTATACATTTGAACTTATCAACAAATATTATTATTTATTAAATTATATAATGATCGCAAACTGATCAAATTTTGTGTAATCAGCATAAAGTTTATTTAACTCCTATTAGTTTTTATTTAATTTATAAGAAAACATAATTACAGATTTTTTCAAATTAATATTTTATTAGTCAACTTTTGCAGTCATGTACACCTATGATCTATGATAATTGTGCAATTCAACCTTAGCTTGAGATTTGCTGAAATAATTTGCCAGTTATTTATAGTAGCGAAGGTTAACGTGATGATGATGATGACGACGAGAAGCAGACGAGCCGGGATAATCCTGATTACCGAGAATTAGCTGTTTGATCGACGGATGAAATTGTTTCGCTTTTCGTTGCGTCGATGAGGGACGGACGGATGCAAGTACTAGACAGAAGGTGAGTTAATCGATCATCTCGCAGGAAAATCGACCTACAAATTTTAATCCTTCCAGGATTTCATGACGCAGCGGAGAAAACGGGTGGCATTTTTCGCAGCATAAAAACGTGCTGTGTTTATTTTTTTCTTCATCTTTTATTTGCGCGCGGTGGTTTCTTTTTTCCGTGCCAAAGATTTATACGCCATTCGCAATTCCTTTCTATCCATTTCGAGGCCACTCTCAACTACAAGTGTCACGGCAATCATTATTGTTATTGCGGCATTTAATAGCGGCAACAGCTTGGGTAACTAGTCCGAACTCTGCAGCCCGACCGGCCAGCCAGACAAAATATTATGATGCAGATGCAGAAAATGTGTCACACAGACCGATTTTATCGTCGACATTATTTCCCCTGCAATTATTTCTTCCCGGTGAACGCACAACTTACCATCAAGATACCATCTCGTTCGGATCTCTCCCACCCGTTGGTTGTTAGTTAGATCCTCTTCGGATGATGACGACGATGGCCTGCATTGTCCGAAGAAGCAACAAGCCGAAGAACAACGCAACAACGCCTTTTCCTGCTTTGCACCATCCACATCCTCCACCAATTAATTCAAGGACAATCTGAATGTTTCTGCTAAATCACATTCACAAGGTTATTCCAATGGTGCCATATGTTACCTTCTATATATTTTTTTTTTACTAATATATGCTTGTACTTCACAAAAATGTAGCCAAATACAAAATTTTATTCAGCAATAATTCCATTAAAAAAAAAACAAGAAATGCGGATAATATTTGTTTTGTGAAAAGTACATGAAATAACTTAAAGTTGAACTAATTTATAATATTTTGTATAATTATGTTTTAAGTTGTCATATAAACTATTACTATTACTAATGATAGTTTTAAAGTTAAAGTTAGATTAAATTTAGTTTAATACTTCTAGTACATCTTTGCAAACATTTGGTTTCTATACATATTTTCTACAAAATGTAAATGTAATTACACACGTAATTTAAAATGAAATATCTAAAGAGTGAAGTATTTATGCAATATTTACACATGATTTACTGTTTCTACATTTTATATAAAAATGATCTAATTGGAAATGAAATCAAAGAATAGTTGCAGTAATAAGCACATATTTTTTTCACTTTTTATCTATGTACTTATTTTATATAAAATAATAATCAGAACCAATTAAAAAATAATTAACTTTCCGCTCTTATTATATAATTATTACTACAATTTTAACATGGAATACTAAAACAATATTAAATAAAACGTGTGTAAATTTAAGAGTTTTTCTGTCCAAACCATATTTTTACTATAGAAATAAAAATATCTTACCAAATAATTGTATTATAACAAAAAAAAAAACAAGAAGTGATGGTTTTTCAAGCTGAGAGGTTTCTTTAGTTTCAATGTTGAGTTGAATAAATATTGTGGATTGTATTTTACTGAGAATGAACAAATTATTAGTTTTGTTTTTCAAAGAATTTTCAAGTATTTGTGACCACAAATACTTGAATATTTTATACTGTGATTGAAAATTTGTTGCTGATGTTATAATGAAAAATATGAAGTTGGGAATGAAATATTGCATTTTGATTCTAAGAAAGGATGAATTTATAACGGTTTTAAGAAACGCATTTACATTTTGTTTTAATTTAATTGATGCATCTGTTCTCGTTTAATTATTAGATACTTAATTAGAGATAGGATTATCACAAGTATTCAAATCATGTTAATATAATTTGAATTCGTGTGTGATATACCTAGTGAATTGTAATCAATTTTCGCCTATGTAATTATGTAACCGTTTTGGGCCGCGTTCCCATACGGGTCCACGAATCGTGATTCCGTAGGTAATATGTGTGTTCCTTCATTTCTCTCGAATTAATAGCCCTGGGAAGACCATTTAAGAGGCACGCCATTAACATTGTTGAGATCGTCGAAACAGATTTTAGCGCGATCGAGGAAAACGTTATTTTTGATACGAAAGTCATTTACCCGGAGATCCGACGATTGCATGCAACACTGATGAATACACCCAATGTTTCGAAACGCATCTGTCTTTAACTGCACGAAAAGCAACTAAATAATTGTAAAAAAAAATAACATCGATGTTAATAAATTAACTAGTTAACAGTCCAAGTAACAAACTGCATGTGTAACACAAAATAATAATTTTCGAGCGTGTAATGAAGTCAAGCATAATTATAATATTAATCAGTGTTGAGCTTCAGATTAGATTTCAATGCGTTGTTGCATGCCTCCACCATCCAAGATCCCGAAAAGCCGCCTCTCAATGATAAATCCTGCCGCTTGCAGCAACGAAGCCGATACGATACCAATCTGGCACCGAAACGAATTTATGAATATTATTTCCCCGGCGATCGCAGATAACTTCTTACGTAATCCGTACAGAACCGAACCCGGCAATTAGTTTGCAATGCATGCCTCCAATAACGAGAAGCCATCAGCATTTTTTTTTTTATTGATATTAAAAAGATCAATCATTTTGCGAACAAATCCTGATTGTGATTCTCCACGAGAAGCGTTGGCAATCTGCAAAATAGTTATTAGCAATTTTTCTTGCTCCATCTTTTTGGTGCCGCTTAATTGCTCTTACACTCGGCGCAAAACCTAAAGAACTTTTAATTAAATCGATTCGATCTACTCCAGAAACAACAGCAACAACAAAAAGAAAGGCACGGCGCAGGAAAAACCGGAATCCCGTACAAAAGATGTTGTTATTTAGTTTGTTTGTTTTTTTTTACATAAAAATCAATGCATTCAACAAGAAGTGATTTGTTTCTTTATATTATTCAATCAGTTGGTTTGCAAAAAGAAAAACAAAATAAATAAGGAGATTTATAATGGAATATTGAAAGTGAATTTATTCTTGCACGTAAATATTTTTAATATGTGTTCAATGGCTTTGTGTCAATTAATGTAAAGGTCCTTATTTTTTTTTTCTATACGAACAAAGTTTTGTATTCTATTCGAATCTGTTGTGTTGTTACACGCTATTTATTTCCCAGGAAGTAATTCTCTGCATTCCATCAATTACACGTTACATCTATTATACAATAATTTGTTACATTTTTTTTTTATTCTTGTGAGTCTATACACTTACGTTTTCTTATACTGTGTTTCAATATCAATTTAATATTTTTGTTTCATATTACTAAAGAATTTAATCTAATTTTATGATTTATATTCTAAAAAAATAATTATAATATACCGTAAAATCTTGACAATTTATACCAAACATTAATAAAGAATGATATTTGACGTGTTTTAATCTACTAATATTTAATTAATTTTCTTTCATTTTTAAATTTAAATTTACAATTTAAACAAATACAAATACAAATTTTATTAAAAATTTTAATTTTCTTGTTAAACAATTAAAAAAATGTAGAATATACGTATTTTATAAATTTACATGAAACAGTCACTTTTTGAAAGATATTAGAATATTTATAAAACTTATATTCTAAAAAAAAACAATTATAATTTGCATTATTAAAAAGTCGTTTTTTGTAATACAAACAGGAAATCATTTATAAATCAGTCATCGGCTTATATAGATATGAATCCGAGGAGAATGTCCAGTCTTCTATATATTAAGTTTTTCTAGTTTATAATTATAAAAAAGGACTTGTTTCTATGCATTTAACACAAGTTGTTTTCAATTTTCGATTCTCTAATTATGCAATAGCAATGCAAACAAAAAAAAAAGAACCTCGATGTCCATGGAATTGCAAAGGTCATATTCTCTATTTTAGAAACATGTTGGGTGAGTCACAGAGATGTGGAATATGCGCGATGCAATTTTTCCTTAACCCAGTTTAAAGCGAAAGTAAGATTCGTGTTACGTGACTTACTTACCTTTGGCCGCGATTAGCGAGACAAATCCAAAAAGGCAGAGCAATTTCGTGAACATCTTTACAGCGATTCGGCGATTAAACAACAAAGAAACATCAACCCAAAATCGGGGGAAAAAATAAACAATAAGTTATTGATGGAGCACAAGAACTGAAAAGTAATTAGTGACACTGACAGGTTTCACTCCGTGCAAATTCTCTGGTTTTTAATGTCCTTTAATTGAGGGTGTGCGAACGAAAGGTCCTTGTTTCCTTTTTTTTTTGTTTGCTCGTGTCACAAGAGTATCATCATCGTCAGATGAGATGTGTGTTGCGAGTACCTGCAAGGCTAGCACACGACTGTCGGTACCACAACCGAGCGGATTCCTACTCACCTGGTCTTACCTTTTCTTACCTGCCCACCTCGAAGCAGCAACTTGCGGTTCGCTTTACGTCCTTCTCTTTCTCTCTCATACTCCTACCATCTTTCACCCATTCCCTCACATGTGCACCTATAAACATACACACACACAAACACACGCTATTTTCCGCCGTCTCTTTTATTCCGACCATAATCACATTTATTCCAAACCAATAACGAGGAAATCGATTTCATTCCGCCGCGTTCGTGCACATGCTTAAAAATAATCATCGGACGACCGAAAAACCACTTCAGACACCGTCCTTAATCCTTTAATCATTAACGAACAGCTTTTTAATTAAACTGCGATGACCTGAAATGTATTGCATTATTATACGAAATTGCATTCCTCTTCGATCAATAAAACTATATGTACTAATTGAATATCCCTTTTCCTCCATTCATTGTTTCTAATTACGATAAGTATTAAATTTTGTGATTTATCGTTTGAAAGCGGTAAACCTGAATTGGCGAAATATAGCATTATAAATATTTCACACTTCATTATCTTTAATGGAAGATGAACATTTTTTTCGAAACACACACGCTTAGAAGAATTTTAAAAAATATGATTATAATGTGGAAAGGTCAATAGACCTATTACAATCTTTCTCTGCGTCATTAAAATGAAATTTGATACGTTTCGTTTTTCTTTTCTTATTATCATCTTATTTAATTGTTTCTTCATATTTTATTTCTTTCAATGTGGTCAAAAACATCTTAGAAATAGATATGTTTGTTAATAAATTTTGTTTAGATTTATTTTATATCTAACAAATATTTATAAAAATTAAGTCTACTAAACATTTTTTTGCGTCCATTTCTATCATTTCTACGATAATTTAATCAAAAAAAATATTATTTAGAATAAATTTATGAAACACTGTAAATACCTTACAGTCGGGTCTAAATCGCAAACCCGACACCCGAAATACCGTCTATCGAAATCCCGACGTTAGAAATCCCGACTGTATCAAAATCTCGACTGTATTAAAATCCCGACAAAATTTCCGGATTTTTACTCGTATAGTGAAACAATTTTCCACATATAAACTTATGTAATATACGATAATGTGTTCCTTTTTCCGAGTCATTTTTCTTACAATTTATTTTGCTTGTAAAGCGTGGTTCCACTGTATTTTGTGAGTGTATTCATTTCTTTGCTTCGTCCTATTATTTAATGCATAATATTAATAAATTGTTATTGCTACAAGATAATTACATAATAACAACTAATTAACTTATAGTCTAATGTTGGTTATAGAATTCAGCATGAAGACATGATAATTATACAAATCTAATCAATTCTTTCATGCTGTTGTATAATGAATGAACATGAATACATAAAAAGCGAATTTAGCATTCGTTCCAGAAGCAATCAGCATTTTACACAAAATATTTTGATGTTTGCGGATAACAATTGGACCGTGCCGCTGTATAAATATTGGGCGGAAACGGTTCTTCGGAGGCGGCGAAAGAATATGTATATGTATGTATATACATAGTGAGTTATATAAGATACGGTGCACGCGATAATCTTGAGTAAAGTATAAAGGAAGGAAACCGGCGAAAAATATAATACAATACAAACATGTACAGAGCAGAAACGTATATGTATTCGAGGTGCATCAACCGTGATTCCTTCCCCGATGAAATTACATCAGACCATCTCCAGCAAGTAATTAGTGTGTATTAACTGCTTGTTTTCCATAATAAACCACACGTTTACATTTATATATCATGCAGATGTTTATATCAAACATTTTTTGTGCATTTGTTCTTGTAATATATAGAAGTGTTTTATTTATACCAAAAAGAAAATACATCAGCTATTTGATTTTTTTTTATTATTTACAACAAGCAATCTATTACAATACAAAGAAAAATAATAATAAGCTGAGTAAATCACATTACATCAGAAACGATTAGGAAGATCGTGTGGTTTCAGTCTACATATATTTTCATCTGTGGTGCTCAGCTCTACAGCTAGTTGATTCGGATGATCCTCCAGCCGAAGACGATATCTGGTGCTGGCTTTTGAAATCTCTTCTTTAATGAAGGCAATACCACTGGATTGGTCAATTGCCTCAACGTCTTTGACTGAAATCTCTGAATGATGTCTATGCTAGAGTTGCATAGAAGTGCAGGTCTCCGCAAGGTAAGAGGTTCATCATATCAATAGCTCTCTGGATCTTACCTTTCGTCATTTATAGATACCAGAAAGATGTCGCCAAAGATAATTGTGCCGAATGACATTGACAATGATATCGGTTCTGAGATTGAAGAAGACGACGACGACGATTCCCAGGACGACCCGTCCTTGGGAGAAGAATGCGAAGACTCTGATGATGGCAACAACATCAATTGCGCCGTTAAACAGAAGCTGGTCATCTATACGGCTGAGACTCTACAAATCTCTGTTATTGTTGCCGCAGTAGTCTCTTTGCTTTTGGGATTCATTGTAGGTTACATATTTTCCCGGCGATTTCATCCCCCATCTCAATATCCAGACACACCATTTATAGAGCAACGCAACCATTTGGAGGGGTATTCTTTTGTTGATATATCTTGTTTGTAAGTCGGCTAATTGATTTTTTTTTCCTTTTTTTATAGGCTAAGCGGAACGCAAAGTAATTTTTTTAATTACCATGTCATAAATTCTTTGCCGCCGCCCCCAAAGAAACATAACCTAGATGCCAACAAAGATCATAATATTGCCAATGAAGGCACCCTACAGAAAATCAAGAAGACTTATATTTAATTTTCAAAAGTAGGCTCGAGTGTATCTATTTTTTGATGAGGACTGTACCAAATAGTTATATACCGATGTGCATTAAAAGCGTACACTGGGTGGATTATTTCAGTTTATTTCAAATGCAAAACGAGATGGAATTCTCGAGGAAAACAGAAAACAGTATCTAAAAAGAAGTCATTCTAAATGTCGTATATTAATATATATATCTCAATATATTGAATACCGTCATAGTTGAATACCGTCCAGATCGGTTTTATGACTGCCTTGTAGACGGAGAGTTTGTTTTCGGTTGAGACGCCAGAATATCTGACCAGATGCCAATGCAACTTTTTTATCGTCAGGGCGAGCTGTTTCCTTTTGGAAGCTATATGCTTCTTCCACTTTATACGTCTGTCAAGATGCATTCCCATGTATTTGGCTTCATCCACTTGTTGTGTCCAACCTTAGTCGCCATAATAAATATATACATCAGCATAAAGGTAGCCTTCATCGAGACCAGCTACTGAAAGAACATCGCTCATATTTTCAACCAGATGCAGAATTGGCAAAATCCGTATAGGAACAGTCTTATAAAAATCGTGCTTACTCCTCAAACTCCCACCCCTTGCTTAGTTAACTTTATACGTAGAGTAAGGATTTGTAATTAGTGTTAGGAAGAACGTAAAAGAATCAAGTCGTATCGAATATTTTAATAATAAACCAAAAGTAAAACTCGTTCAATTTATTATTTACCAAACCTAAGGCTCCACTACAGACAACAGAAGAAGATATCCCACAGTGTCCAGATAACCATCTCTGGGACACGACACACTTATGCTAGTATGCCGCCATTTAGTGTAACCGGGGGACAGGTTTGACGACGCATAGTGAATGTTATATGGGCAGACTTGGTTTGGTTAGCCTAAATTCGCCACCTCTTCAGCCAGTCGTTGATGTTATTTAGGCTGACCTGAAGTATCACCGATACCATCGCTGCATTCCTGTGAGATACCAAGACCGCAGTGTCATCCGTGAACGTGGCTAAAATGGCCTGCTGTGATGTTGGCAGGATGCGAAGATTAGGTATAAGAGCAGTCAAGTCACTAATAAATTTTGTAATTACATAATATTATTCAATTGTTCTATTATTTATCAATTATGTTTGCAATGGAAACAAATGATTTTAATAAATGCTCACAATAATATTAATTAATAACAGTTTCATCAATAATTACATATTTTTCAATTGAAAGGATCAATCATTTTTTAATAATCGTTATAACCAAAAATAATAATAAATATATACAATTACAAGTTTCAATAAGAAAAAAGGGAACGCCCGAGCAGGGACTTGAACCCTGGACCCTTGGATTAAAAGTCCAATGCTCTACCGACTGAGCTACCCGGGCTCGATATAAGTTGTAGTAAAAAAAATCAATTCTAAGCTATTATTTTTTTTATCTGTTAATAAATTTAATTATCAATAATTTATTTTACTATACTACTTTGTTTTCTGCTCTAGTAGGAAGATACATATTTTCTTATATCTTGTATATGGCCCATTAGCTCAGTTGGTTAGAGCGTCGTGCTAATAACGCGAAGGTCGCGGGTTCGATCCCCTCATGGGCCAATTTGTTTTTATTTTTTTTACTTAACTCTTTGAAGAGCGGTAATACACGCAATGTACCACCTTTTTAATTATATTTTAATTTACTAGAAAGTGTCCAGGAATTACCACTTTCTAATCAGCAAATTCTTTAAAACTCTGTGATTCTTTTACGCATATTAATTAAAAAAATGTATTTAACACTTCAAAAGTTTGTTAGTAGTTATGTAGATTATCTGTTTATTGTTTGTTAATGTGGAGTGTACATTTTGGTTTGTTTTTGATGCATATTGGATGGACGTAAATGATAGATGACGCCACAAGGGTCTGCGGGTCCAACAATCAAGCAACCGGAAACAATGAATAAATCAAACGAATAGCTACTAAAACATTTACACATTTCGCAATCAAGCATTTCGAATTAACAGCTGATTGTGCCCGGAAATTTATTACTAATTACATATTCCCATTAGCATCGGTCATTCGAATACAAAAACAAAACTCGTTTCCAACGTACAAACATATTCGAGCAACCAAAGTGAAATTCCGAAAAAAAAAACGACGCAAGGTTTAAACAAAAATTAGCTGTTATTCTTGACTTCACTGTTTTGTATCAAGCAACAATGTTGTAATGAAAAATAACCATATCAACTAAAGTTCGAAAAATTCTTCAATCTTCACACTTCGCTCTACTTCCGTCCCATACTTACATTCAGCCGTTCGCACAAGATAAGCACAAAAACAACAATCGTTTCCCATGAAAAAAAAATGTCTCTCTCCGGAGTCATATTGAACGCAGCCATTGCTAATTGCACTAGAAGAAAAGATCACACCACGAAAACGAGAACAACAATAAAAGGCATTGTCTCCGAAGGAAAATGGTGTTGCACGATCATTTCATTAATTAAAATAATTTGCTTTTTTTTAAAAAACACAAAGAGAAAACTCTAACGACAATCATTAGACAGTCTGGTTGAAATTAACTGCATCAAGTATCAACTAGTTATCCATGCAAATTCCAGAACAAAAATTCCTTGCTCCAAATTCAAATTCAACATATGTCCAATTAATTAAGCGCACAAACATTACATTAAAATAATTAATTACAAATAAAAGATATAATATACGATATAATTATTGCGTTTATAGAAACGCATAAATGTTTATCGCTTCGATTTTCGTTTCCTTGATGAAATTAACATCTAAATTGTTCGGGTAATCTTTGCTGCGTTACAGAATTACTGTGGTTTTCTATACAATTTAAGTGCATATGCAATTTAAGACGGACATGTGATTTATTTATTTTTCAATATGCAAACTCGGGTGCGTCCGTGATAATACAGTTAAGACCGGAAGAGCACGTTCTTTCTGGTGTTTCGTCATACGAAACAGTTGTAATGTCCGCGTGGTCAATATTTATATTTAAATGTACACAGATAATGTATGCTTTTTGAACAACTGTACAATATGCGATAATAATTCTGAAATACATGCTAATCGTAACTGTTTTGTTTATATTTGTTTTGTTTAATTAATTATATATTGCAACACGGTGATAATCGCAAGCCCGGCAACCGAAATCCCGTCTATCGAAATCCCGACGTTCGAAATCCCGACTGTATTGAAATCCCGACGTTCGAAATCCCGGCTGGCTCAAAATCCCGACTATATTGAAATACCGACGTTCGAAATCCCGACTGTATCGAAATCCCGTCGTTCAAAATCCCGACAAGCATAATCCCAACTGTATCAAAATCCCGACTATATCGAAATCCCGGCAAGCATAATCCCAACTGTATCAAAATCCCGATTGTATCGAAATCCCGACAAGCATAATCCCAACTGGCTCAAAATCCCGACTATATCGAAATCCCGACAAGCATAATCCCAACTGTATCAAAATCCCGACTGTATCGAAATCCCGACAAGCATAATCCCAACTGTATCAAAATCCCGACTATATCGAAATCCCGACAGTATCTTTTATTATTATAAATTTCGATATAGTCGGGATTTTGATTGTCGGGATTATGGTAGTTGGGATTTTGACATAGTCGGGGTTTTGATATAATCGGGATTTCGAACGTCGGGATTTCAATATAGTCGGGATTTTGAGCCAGCCGGTATTTCGAACGTCCACAATATACATACAAAATAAAACCTTAATACAATAATAATTCATCTACTGCAAAGGGCTATTGACCATATGTCTTTCTGCCCTTTTTACTGTTTTATTTGGCAATTGCCTACAGCTTGCATTTCCTTCTTTGATCCATTTTGAAAATACACTGATTTTGATTTCCCTTAAAGAGAAATAGAAAATGTTAAATATGGATCTTCTGAAAAGTACATGAAAAGAATACACAGCATTTGTTGTTTTAATTTTGTCAGATATATACAGGAAATATAAGAACTATAATTCTATACACATTTTACAGTATACATCAGTGTTTCCCAACAATTTTTGTGCCAAGTTCCATCTGAGCCTTTCTTATGTCCCCTATGTAACATATACATAATTCGCCATACGGTCAAACTCTGGATGAATCCATTTTAAAATTTCCACCCTTATCAATCAAATTGCCCCGATGTGTGGATCCACGTTGCGAAACACTGGTTTACAATTTTGTCTTCAATTTCACTACTCGGTTGTTATTAGGTAAATGTAAAAACAATGCCTTTCCGCCCGGTATCAATCGAGTGACATTAGGTATTGGAATAAGGATAATGTGGGATATTTAAATTTGGGAAGGGTATTTGGGTTTCGAGAGGCACAGAATTTCGAGAGGGAGGATGTTGGACCGTTTGGATTTAAATTTCAAGGAGAGGAAAAGGTATCGGTCAAGGAGAGAAACTATTTTGGTTTTGAAGTAAAGGAGATCATTAGGAGGATTGTGTAGAGGATTGATTATTAGGATGTCGTATTTTGGTGAGAATACGAAGGGCGGAACGTTCGGATACGGACAGGTTTTTGGCATTGGGAAAGTAGTGGGAAACCGTAGTCAAGGATAGGACGGCATATGGATTTGTATATGGATGTTAGGCACTTTATGGATATTTTGGAGTTACTGAAGGTTAAGGAATGGAAATGACGGGATCTGGATTTAATTTTGGATTTGAGTTGTTTGGAATGGGAATTGAAGTTGAGTTTAGGATCGAGAAGGATTCCAAGGTATTTAACAAGTGGTGATGGGAAAATGGAATAATTATTGAACGTAACATGGGGTGACGAAGGGGATATGCGATGGTAGGGAACAAGGAGCTTGGTCTTGGATGGGTTAATTTTGATGCGCTATTTTTTAAAGCATAAAATGGTTGAGGATAAGAGGTTTTGAAGATTAAGGATAGAGGATGTTGTCATCAGCGTATTGGAGGACATAAATGTTGGGATCAGAGCTATACATATCATAACAAAAAAGGTTATGTAACAGAGGAGACAAAGGGAAATATTTATAATAATTTTCCTACAAATCTGGATTTCATTGAATTCATGTATTTCTCTAGTAAATCTATATAAATTGTTTGGTTGTGTGTACTTTCATAGTTAAAATAAACATTTTTATGGAAGAAAAGTTATTTAGTAGAAATCCAGTTACTTATAGAAACGTAATATGTCTGTTGAAAAGCATGAAATGTATGGGCGTTATGCGAAATCCTGAAACCGTAACATGTTTTACAACGAAATAATATTCAAGTCTGCGACAATAACGTGTGCAATGAAAAGTGTATTGGATGGAATTGTCCACGGAGGAATATATCTGGATGAAGGGAGAGTTTTACGTTTTACTGCCTCCCTCGTAAAACGCCAAGGGGAAAATGTAATGGCGGCCGCATGAATGGTTGAATTTAATTGAAAAAAGAAAACCAGGAAGAACAAGTGAATAGAATTGGTAATGGAAACAATCGCAAATAACGCACTTAGCCTGCTTCCTCTCTTTCTCTATCTATATATGTATATTTTTTTTCCGTTTGTTTTCGTCCCTAATGAACCGACGTGCGCTTTCCTTGCCCCCCGACAAACGCAAATGGAAAGATAATCTAAATGGAGAAACTATTTCCCCAGTTTTAATCCGAATCCCCTCGGCCAATTTCCATTTAATTACATCCGCGATCCGATAACTTCCACCTACATTTATATAGCTAAAAAGCGTTCCCATGCTCCAGTACTATAGCAGATTGATGAGGTATCCTGCAGGAATTAGAGGGATTACGCAATCAGTGTAATCGGCCTCTCGAAAATCCGCGTCGTTAATTCATAAGTAAAATACGCTAAACCAAATTAATTATGTTTTTCTATACTCGGATAATCGGGCGATAGATAGAAATCTTGAGAACGTAATGCGACTTGCTAGAAATCGTTTTTCGAGATAACATTCCTCAGAGCAATAAGGAAATTCCAAAAGTTGTCCAATTTGCAAATAACTGCGGAACACATGGTGGTACATCTAACGAATTATATCTCTCGGTTACGTTTCGTGCGTCTTCTATGATTAACAAAAAAAAAATGTACCAAAAAGAAAATAAAAGAAGTAACGAGTGCAGGTTTTAAGATCGACTTTGTCTGTCGCCGGAGGACCTCAAAAAAACTGTGCCCTCGTCACGAACCCATTTGATTGGCAACGATTTATCGACCGGACAAGTAAATACAAGCTCGAAATTTATGCGATCGCCGAGTCCAGTTTATTATATTCCTTCGCGTTTACAGCTACGATATTTTTGTGCTCAAACGCAACGCAAAAACTAAATAAATAAATAAATAAATAGCAAATACAACATTGGGATTTATTGTTAACGAGTTTCCCTTCGGTTGGATCAACTCGATTTACACGAAACAACAACATAACAAACAGTCGTGGTTCCAACTTTACATGATGAACTGTTCGCTTTTAACTGTTAATATGGCCCACTTTGTTTTTATTTTTTTTTCTTCTACTTCAATATTCCCAAGGCCTAATTTTTCTGTTTGTTTATATTTTGAGGGTACGTGTGAGAAGTATGATTAATTTTCACATTACACTAGGTTCTCAACAAAAATAGTTTAACGGTCCTTAAATTAGTTTAACAATCGTATTACGTTTTTCGTTTTATTTCTCTCACTCTCTCACTTGGTCTGATTTTATTAGAAACAAGCATTCGCTTCGATCGAATCACGTTACTATTCACATGACATTAATTCAATGATAAGTATATATGAAAGGTTAATTAATTGTATATTTTATTAAAATATAAATACTTCAATATCTAATTATACATTTATATATTTTTTTTATTAATTTATTACAAGAATTGTCATTCTCCATATATCCTTACTCCTCCTTAAACATAAATTATTGTTCACATATTTCAAATCTTCATTTTTATTTACACGTTCATCAATCAAGAAATATACAGACAGCATTCAAATTACACGATACTTAAGTTACATAAAATCTTGAATAACAATTTCGAACAAAATTTTCAATCTATCCCTAAATGGACAATCCAGCAACATAGCTTTTCTTGTTAATAATCAATTTTAAAACTTCGTTTGACTTATAATACAATAAGTAAGAATTAGGTTAATATAAAAACAATGGTTAATGGATAATTTGTTAATCTGACGTATTCTTTACGAATGTCTTTGCAATTCCAAAATTTGTAAAATCCACGTGTTGGAAACTTAATTTTACTTTTCAAATTTTTCATTATTTTCATTCTTCATACAAGTTTGTCTAAATATTTCTAACAATTATAGATATCTATGAACTTCTTCTATTGAACTTCAACGAGATTCACATTTTTCCTTGTAATTTTGTTTGCATATTATTAAATAATGAAAATCAATCAATTTTGATGTTATAGATTTATCAATTTTCAAAAGGAACTCTATTACAGATTTCAATGAAACGCTGCTAACTTTGTCTTTTGATAATCAACAAACTTCCTTATGTAAAAGCAATTACTTTTCATCGTTGTACAAAATCTTACACAGTTAAGAACAAATATTAAATAAAAATTTAAATCCGAATCCAAATCCAAATGTCCATTTATAAATCTGGAGTAACGAATAACACGGTTTTGAAATTGAACCAATTAACTGTGGTATTCATGGGTTGACTGTAGTAGAAAAGAAAAATAAATCTTCTCTCGCTTGAAACTAAATTAAATTTTTAGACTGAGACGAACGCCCTTTGACCTAAATCCGGGCAATTTCCTAACCGGATAAGACTTACAAGTGCGAATTAAGTCTCAAACGCCCCAATAAAGCAAAGATATTTCAATTCGAGTAATTGAAATGGAATAGCGCAAGCAAAAAAAAACATTTAACTAAAATCTTGAATTCATATTTCTTCAACAAGCCACTTCATTTAAAGTTCACTTGGGTTAATGGGATTCGTAATGTTCGTAGAGAGCGAAAATATATTCAATTGCAATTAAATAAATTCGCGTACGCGTTTTCACTGGATAGAAGAGGAGTGCAGTTAAAACGTGCATTAGTCTTGTGTGGATGGGTGTGTAATGTATTCCAGAAACAAGATGTAAACCCGCATGAAGAGATGCAGGAATAAACTGCATTCACGTCATGGACATGGAAATTTCCGAATGCGCCGAGCATCACGTAAATGTCATAATTTCAGTCGTAAATGGAAAAATATCTGACGTAAATGTCCGACTATCAATGGGAGATTTTAAATCCTGGACAGCGATTTACAGAAAGCTGCAATTTAATTATCCTTTCTACTAAAAGGTTTATGATTTGTCTTTGTAAAAATTATATAATAAAAAGATTAATATCATTACAGTTAAGTAAATAGTTAAGGGTCATAAAATTATCTTCGTTTCTTTATTTTGTAAAGAATTAGGATGTATTTGATCTTAATGAATTCTCTTCTTTCTTATGCGGCGGATACAATTTGCATTGTTTAAGAATTCGCGGTTCGTTAAGTGCTGAAATCTTTGTGGCACCGACCAAATTACAATTAAGAGGTAGAAAGAAATTGCTTTTACTGCTGATGCAGTTGCTAGGATAAGGAAAACGAATGCACCGAAGGCGAGACACGGTGTTTAAGAGAAGTCCGGAAGTCTTAACGAGGGAGAATTTATCAGGAGAATAATTGCTGCCGCCGAAGATCCACAAACAAATAAATACTTAATTACGCAATTGTGGTGGAGACGGCGAAGGCGTGACGGTGCACTCTCCGCTCGGGATTCGTCTTTATTAGCATGCTGGATGGTCTTACGTTTTCCTCATTCCTCGTCTATAAACTACAATTAATCAAGCGCAATTGACTTTCTCTCTCTCTATCTCTTTTTATCTCTAGTTAATCCATCGAGTAGGTTCAAATGATTTATGCAAGATCTACGAAATGCATCGAGAATTAATTAAAACCTTTTTATTATTGCTACTTTACAAGTCTCTGTTGACGAAAATAAATATTTACATCTTAAACATATATATATTTGGTAAATGAAACAAGGTTGCTTCAGAGGATAAAATAATATAGATTGAGTATAAGAGTAGTAATGGTAAGTATCACAGAGTTGCGGAGAGGATGAGCGAACGCGAGAACAGGTGGTAGATCTTTGCACTGCTCCTTGTAGTTATTCCTCACGAAGGCCCTACTGTCTCTGGCCAGGACGCACAGCTGGAACTCGCTGAAATCCAGAGGAGCAACTTCCTCGGATGCACTCAAATTTGCTACGTCGATCTCGACGCTCCTCTTGAAATACGGCAAAGTGTTCTCGTAGAGCAATTTATCGGGCTGCCGGGTATTCTGGATGATTATATAAGGATCTCCGATGTCCTCGTTCTTGACGACCAGCCACTTCACCTTTATCTGGTTATTTTTGCTGCAAACGCAAACGATCAGAGAGAGCACTTACACAAACCATCATGCTTGTACTCACATCTGGAATGATCTGAAGCGAAAATCTGGAGTGATGTCGTACTCCCCTGGTTCTGACTCCATGATCCTCGAAATGTTTACGTTACCCGGGCAGGTTAATCTGTCATCGGGAACTTCGTGTAAAAATAATTCGTCCAGATAAGGTGGGCCGAAACAACTGATATCTTTGTAAATCTGTTTCACGTGCAGTTGTTTATTAATGTACCTTCGCAGTGGACGTGTAAAGCAATCGCAAATCAAAGGGTTCCCTATATAAGAATTAAGTTGGTTTCAAAAAAGTAATTATTTTTCAAGTTTCAAATACCTTCGAAAACAACGTTTGTGTTATGCAGTACCAAATCAGTTAAATTATTATCAAACCGTTCAAAGTTATTGTACGATATATCAAGCAATTCGAGTTTAGTTACATTCTTGATATGCGTCCATGGTAACAAGCTTAACTGATTATGAGATAAATGTAGTCTGGACATGTTTTTCGGTAAACGAAATGATTCCAATTCACTAGTTATATCCTCTAAATTGTTGAAGGAAAGATCTAGTTCTCTTAACATGGTTAAATTTCCGAGAGCTCCTAAAATTAAAAAAACAAATTAGCGATTTTATTAATTATATTTAATTTATATTAAGAACCTCGTCTTAAATCCGCTATGTTGTTATGCGAAACATTGAGTTTTTCCACTTTCGATGTACCGAATCTGATGTCGTAGGTAATAACAGGTAACGAGTTGTATGATAGATCAATTTCCCTAAGCCTGTACGGCGTATACGGCTCGTTCGGGAACGTTTTCCTGTTGATGAAGCTGATCTTGTTGTGGCTCAGGTCCAACTGAAACCGAAATTAAGCTAATTAACCGCTCCAGCATTCGATTCATTTACCTTCTCTAATGAGAGGCAATCCATCAATAATCCATGGGTCTTGTTGTCAATCCTCTCTATTCTGTTGTAGGATAAATCCAGCTCTCGGAGCGCCACCAATCCTGGAATTATATGCATCGATTAAACACTAATTCGCAATCCCACGAAAATCGCTCGTATTCACCCTTCATTGCTTCTGCGTGGATGTGCGATATATTGTTGTTAGATAAATTGAGGACGATCATCTGGATCAGACCCTCGAAAGCTCTCGCGCTGATGTTGTTCAGCTGATTGTTGGCCAGGTTCAGTTCGAACAGCACAGGCATACGACCGAAAGCGGCCTTATCCAATTTAGTCAAGTTGTTGCCCTGCGGAAGTTAAGCGGTTTTAATTGTGTCTTCATTTTACAACCGCAAACTTTACCTCCATGTAAACGTACTGCAAGGAGGATAGATCACCAAGGGCGGCCCAAGGCGCTTTCTTGATCCCGTTATAACCAAGATTCAGTCGCTGCAGTGTTAACAGTCCCTTGAAGCTCTCGGACTCTAAGCCTTCGCTTAATTGATTCCAACTTAAATCCAAACTTAGAAGCGAGTTCATCGAGGGCCACAGCTTCGGCGGTATCTTCTCAAATTTGTTCCTAGATAGATCCAGATGAGCGACAGATATTGGCAGAATGAACAACGTATGCAGCTCGTTTCCGCTCATCTTTAATTGCCTCATGCCACCCATACGTGCGAGGGCACCCTTCGACATATCACGTATTCTATTGTAGCTCAAATCTAAATCTAACATCGTCGGGATCGGCCCGAACGTACTTGGTTTAATGGTCTCAAGACTGTTGTAGCTTAAGTCGAGAATTCGTATAGAGAAAAGCGTTTGGAAAACGGCATTGAATATTTCCGAGATGTTGTTATGGGAAAGATCTATAGTGTGAAGCTCGTACAACTTTGGAAAGGTGTGTCTCGGTATTTTCGTTAGCATATTGTACGTTACATTCAGGATCTTCAATCCGGTCATATTGTGTAGCGGGATCTGAAGTACATTGAATTACTCTCACATAAAATTAATAATAAATAAATCACACACCTGGTTTAGTTCGGTTAAGTAATTGAAAGCCATGTTCAACTCGCTTGCGTATGTTGTCTCATCGAAAGTCTTCTTAGGGAGCATCTTCAGATTGTTATAGGACAAATCCAGTATAGTCATGTTGGCGCAATTCACGAATGCCCCGTTCTCTATAGAAGCTATCGCGTTGTGAGAAAAATTGATATTCGTCAAAAACAAATCTTTCAAAGCCCCCTTCTGTATCTCTGTCACATTATTTTCGGATACATCCAATACCTAAAAAAAAATATTATGTAAAAAAAAATAATTTTACTTGTATTTTAAATTATGAATTGAATATTCGTTAAATCCGATTCGACTTTAGAAAGCAGTTTACGGAAAGTCGGAATCTTTATAAATTGTGTTTATAAGCAATGCATTTACCTCTATGAAGTTAAGCTGGTGGAACATCTGATAGTCTATCTTTTTGATGGAATTCCGGGCGAGATCGATGGTTCCGATCCTGCCGATGGAAGCGAACGTTCCCCGCCCGACATCCGAGATAGCGTTATCCGACAGGAAAAGTCTCCTCAAGAAACGCATGCCACGGAAAGAGTTCGAATCCAGTTTCCTGATCTTGTTATGCGACATGTTCAGCAGCTTCAGTACGGCATTCCTCGCAAAAGCTCCCCTGTAAAAAGGAAAATAAAACGATCATAATAAAAAAAAATGCTGCAAATCATTTTCAAATTCAGTCAGTTTCAATAATAACAATGCACAATTGGCACAATGTTTTATTGAAATATTTAACGTGGCGAGTTTAATTCATATTTGGCTGCAGTTGTCACATGTCAAAATTTCGAGTACGGAAAACACCGGAACGCGAATTTCGCATATTATTTTTTGTTATAATTATTTTTATGTTTTATTTTGGGTTTTAGCTGTTTTTCTGTTACGCAATCAAGCGGATTTTAATATTATAATGTGGTTACCTGCTGAGTTCGGTGATTTCGTTGTGCGACACGTTGAAGAAGCCGAGCTTAGTCAGATCGGCCAAATGGCTTCCATCAATTTTCGTTATTTTGTTATGACTCAGGTCGAGCACCTCGGTGTCTCTCAACCCCTTGAACTGGTTCTTCTTCAAAGTTTTCAACTGATTTCCGTGCAGATCCAGGTATTTAAGCTTCCTCAGAGGCTGCAACGACTCCACAAGGAGATCGGATAAATTCCCGTTGGATATTTGTAGCCTCAGCAATTTACCAGCCAGTTCCGTATCGAAGAACGCATCTTTCTGCAGCGTCGTAATCCTGTGTCCGTCCAGTTTCATAATCGTCAAATTACCTAAAATCTGAGAGCGTTTTCACTGCAATGATTGTAAATAATGAGCGAAACCGTTCGTACCTGAAACGCTTCCTTGGGGAACTCCTTCAATATGCTGTTGTACACGTAGAGCTCGTTCAAAGTGTTGTTCACACCTAAGAACGAATACTCCTCGATCTTCTCCAAAGGCGTATCCTCGATCACAAGTATCCGCAATTTTAACTTGTACAGCAGACTTCCAAAGAGACGAGCTACAAAGTAAACACAAGAATTGGAAACGTGTGAATCGTGAGAGTTAAATGGTTTCAATTAAGCGTTATGGCTCTTAACGCCAAATGCGATTTATCCTGACGTGTCGGGAAGCCGGTAATTAAAGGTGTGCTAGTTGATATGGGAGATATGTTGGTCGGGAAAGTCGTGCAGAACATCCAAGAGCGGGTTCGTCGTCTGTACGGTAGTCGAGGTCTTCTCCGTTCGTGTTATCTTGTTCATCGGCTTCTTGAACACGCGAGCTGAATTGGATGTTGTCCCATTAAAGACGAACGGGAAAGCCGTCTGCTCTCAATCTCTTACATTTCTCGTAAATGGTGGTGAGGAGGACAAATAAACAAAATCGCGGAAAATTTCTAATGCCGTGCGCGCAATACCCGTTACGGAATCTAATCTATAAAATTGATGTTCGTGTCATGTGCGGATCTCGACCGAAGAGTCAATTTACACTTAATTATAATTTTCTATTTCTAAATTATAAAGCCATTTTCATATCTAGAATATATGATCAGAATACAAAAAAAAAATATGAAAGCAAAGACATTATTTATACCTATTTGATCTTTTCACCAAATAACAAATCTTTAAATATTATGAAATATTGCTATTGATCTTAGGACTTGTTGCTGATTGAAAACGGACTAATCGAAGACTTTAAAACCGCGTAAAAATAATTGTTTAATTATTTGTAGTTAAAAATCAGTAAGAAAACCTATAAAATTTGGCTTTTGTATGAAAGTCAACTTACAACCATTTCGACTTACGTCCTTAAGTTTTGACGAAGTCTTTCTAGCATGTAATACGATTTCATATATTTCTTATGAATATTCACATGAATTATATAAAATGTATTTTCCAAATCTTTGTTTATTAGTTTAAAAATAATAAGATCTTCTAATATCAGCTGCTACGAGGAAGTTCATTAGTGATTTGTAATGCAAATCGAGCACGTTTCCCAAGTTTCCAATGCAATACCTCTCCTGCATTTCAATGTAATGCTAACAGTAGCCTAACAACTCGGTCTACAGTTGAAGTGCGATTCAATTTCTCCTTTTCTATTATAATATACAGTTTGAAAATCAAAATCACTAGAAACCCTTCACATTAAACTCAATTCAATTCATCTCATAAATTCAACTCTGGTTTCTTTTTAGGACACCAAACCGATTCTGTTTACACTGATAAGTACATACCAATATGACATTTGTGCAAGGTCAACGTTTCGATGGGCAATTTGAAGGTGGCCAGATTTTGCAGGCCAATACTCATGCTGGCTAAATTGGTATTCTCGCAGCGAACGCTTATTCCCACATCGGATTCGGTCTCGCAAGTGCAAGGATGCAGTAGCAATTTCTGCTCAGGACATCGGTACTTTGGTCCTGGGGGGATGTAACCACCGGCTGCCAATCCACAAAGTAAAGCCACCAACAACAAGATTACCGCTCTGACGCACATGTTCCAATTTGATATATTCCACTACGTAATTCCTGCAAATTAAAGTACATTAAATAATGAAATATTGTTGTTTTTAACTGTTTAAAAAAAAACATATTTGAAGCTTTCACAAAATTTTCTGAATATTTGCAAATGGATTCTATAAAATATATTTTCTAAATAATTCAAGCGCTGCGGTTGTCAGTGAAAGTAGAATCAATGCGTTCCGATGAAGGCCGCGGTGAGACGGATCTAAACAATCGCCAGGAAGTTCCAAAGATATCACCATTATGGCCAAAGGGCTTTGCGCTTCTTGGGAGGAATTGACGGGATTCGCTAGCATTAAAGGGTCGCTAATTGTTCGACGAACCGAAATTCCGTGCCGCACTTAATTGAATATCATACACTAAATATTCCAATCATGTTTATTAAGCTACCTATTCAAGTGTGCAAGGGATGAAGGTATTTATTATACGCCCTCCGGATCCTGCAAATACTTTATTCCACTTTGGCTTTGTGTTCTCACTTCACGGACATTTCTCGCTTCTCGTTAAAGCTCCTACGGCACGCATTCTTTCTCGCTAGACGGCAACGGACTGACTTTTACCTTCGCCATCAAGGAGAACGACAGACCCCACCATTATTACACATACAACTTTCACGTTGAAACCCAATGGAATACTTCTTTGTCGACAAACATATTCACAAACCTCTACTAACGGAAGCGATTGCATAACTCAAAGTCGGAATCCCCAGCTCATTACTAATCGGAAACATTTATATTCAACTTTACTGGTGAAATTGTGTATAGCAAGAAATTAATGTTTATTTTTCTATCAGTAAAATTAGATCTTATCTAACACAAACTTTTCAAATCTATGTTATATAATCAACAATAAATTAAAATGGACTTTTTTTAATTTATCGGTAAATTGCAAAATCTATAAAAACATTTAAGTATTAATTCCAATGATATACAATCAGTTACAAAATAAGTTGTTTCATGCAATCACTATTACGACATTCAAAATACCGGCAACCACAATCCCATAAGAAATAATCTAATTACATTTCAGATTATTTCTTATTGTTAAGGTTTATTATGAATAAATCTATATCAAATAATAAAATATATTGTTTGGATTTTGATACTATCGGCATTATGGTTGTCGGGATTTTGAATATCGAGAATTTGATTGTCGGTATTTCGATATAGACCCTTAAGTTTCATAACTACCCATCAATAGTATAAAATAATCAACTGCATCTAATAGTTTTTTATTGGTATAAAATAGTATTGAATTGTGAAACAATCATTTATATGTTCTTTTATGAGTGTAATTAATATAGGAATCTATAATTGAACAGGAAATACTACAAATCTCTGTCAACTTGAATTAAATCAAATAAAATGGAAGGTTAACAGCTTTTCGAGAATCAGAAAGATTGAATTGGAAAATTAATAATTCGCTCATTTAAAGTATAAAATCATTAACTTAAACCTTGATAGAAATATACAATATAGAACATTTATTTTTTTTCTTCTTTTAAGCACAACGTTGTTATATATTCCAAAATTAAGTGACAATAAACCACTACAAAAATTATCAATTCTGATATCATTTTCATTAAGAACTACGTTCTAATTAATACATATTTCAAAAAAAATATTGCTTATCTTTTTAGATTTGATACAAACCTGAATAACCTGAAGATATTGACGTTTTGAATATTGGAATAATATATATTTTTAACAAAATCTATCGAAATCAAATAAATGCTATATGTAGGTTTCCTATTTCATACCATTCACGTCTATTATAATTTTTTTTTTCTAAAACATCATCTATGATAAAGAATGCAATTACCAGAAATATTTGAACAAAAAAAATATATTTAGAGAAATTTAAGTCTTTTGTTAATATAATAATTTTAAATTGTTGTCGAATAAACGTCAGAACGAACATCACATGCTAAAAAATAAATCATTATAAAACCGAATTATTTGTACATTACTTTGATAAAGATTATTTTTGAAAATTTATATTTAGGGAATAATATTTATTTTACTGAATTAATAAAATGTTTTGAAATCTATTCAATAAAAATTTTCTATTTTGTTCTATTAATTTAAATTTTTTCAATAAATCTGAAGTTAAACTAAATGTAACTAAACTACAAATTAAGATCATTAATTTAAATACATTATTTTTCTGTTTCATCTTTCTGGATTAATTAAAACTTCTTCTACTATTTTTTTCGCACCTCGAAACTTCCTGAAGATTATTTTCGTCCTTACGGATAAACGGTGAAACTTTTTTCCTTCGGTTCGGTGCTCTTGGTTCTCGATCATAATCTCGGAATTAATATAATTATTCCTTAAATAGGGCAAAGTCTCTTTAAAATATATCTCTCTCTCACTCCTCCATTTACCTACTTGCTTTTAATTACGACGCATACTTGGGACGCAAAGTTTCTAGACGTTCCTTCAAAACTTTTGAATCACGTGCAAATCTGCTTCTCCTCCTCGACTTACTTTCTTCGCGAATCCAAGGCATTCAACAATTTGTTTCTCTATTTCGTTTGTGCTCACTACTTTCCGCTGTGTTTGGTTTCTCGTTTCCTATCTTCGTTAAACTTCGTTTTATATAAAAGCAGATGGTGTATTCTATGTAGAAAGTCATTTTAATGAACAGCTTCAGCTCCTCCTGCTCATTTATTTACTATGCAAATTGTCTTACCAGTCTTGAAGGAAAGTTCATAAAAAAATATTATTAAAACGCTAGCTTTATATTTTACCTTATATTCTAAAGACAACATACAATCTTTAACAAAAATAATAACAGAGAAAATGTAACATTTATATATATATATATAAAAAGTCATTTTTTCACATTTTACCTTTCAATTTATAACTATAATAATTATGAAAAAAATATTAACATAAATATTGATTATTTCAATCATTAAAAACTGTTGCAAAGTGCTAAAACTTTAAATTTTTGTTAGATTACTATTGTTATATTAGATAAGAAAGTTTGATTTCACATAAAGTAAGTAAAATCGAACTTTAGACAACAGTTGGTCATTAGATTTAATTGTATTCATTGCTTTATTAATTACATAACTCACATTATATTTCAAACACAAAATTTGGTATGTTTACATTATTGGAAACATTAATAATGATATCATGTTTTACGTTAACTATGCAATATTTGTTGTCAACAACATTGTGTATTGATTAATTATTTCATTAAATTGTATGCATTGGCAATTTATTTGTTAAATAATAAATTTGATGGGTATATTGATTTATTAATTTTTGAGGTCATCAATAATATTAAAATATAATTAAATATAATTGTAATAAAGAAGGAAACTATAGATTCATGGTACAGTGGTTCGTGTAGTTGAACACTGCATTGCAGCGAAATCTGGTGGAGAGAATGCTGTACCTTGCAGGTCATCAGTTTTCGTATAGATGGCGCTTGGTCATATCTTAAGATTTATGCTAATTATTTGGGCTGAAGAAGGAAGTTATGGTTTAATTGGAAAAAGCTGTTTACTTTAATTATTTGGGCTAAAGAAGAAATCCGAAGAATAAAGTGTTATTTTGGTTTTTGTGCTTTGACTGAACAGACAGTGGCTGGCTTGTTGGCGCGTAATGCGGAAGCCAAATGAAAAAGTAGGAAAAAAAGAAAAAAATGCAAAACCCTTTAACAATCTATATCGATATGCACCAATTATTGTGAAAAAATCATCACTAATGATATTTATAAAAAAAAAAGACTTATAATCAATAGCCCTTTGCAGTAGATAATATATTTGTATTATTGCTATTGTATATAAATTAAAATAAATTAATGAATATAAGAAATTAAAATAAATATTTTTTCGTGATTATTGCAAAAAAATAATTATTAGAAAAAAATTACTTACTCGTGGTAATTGGAAAAAGTTAAAATACGGATAATTGTTAAACTCGTTTAATACAAACATCCCTTTAATTTGATTTTAAAAACTATTGATATGCAAAAACATATTTTTAATCATTTTATAATGTAATCTGTATTTTTTTTATAGTTTTCCACGGTAAATTTAGACCCGGATAGTTGGCGATTTACTATATTTTTAATTGGTTTTAATTTTGACCAAATGGCTATCAAGCTAAGTATTTCTGTCAAATACATAACATTTCATTGGAAATAAAATATATTTCTTTTATTCTAATTAAATATTAGGAAATTTCCATATATAAATCAATTTGCTGTCCAATCTATAACTATTGTTTCTTTCCCATTGCCAAAATCCAGTCTTAGAAAAGCTCTGCGGATACAAACGTTCTGCTCCAATCCACAAGAATCTCTTTTATTCTAAAACCAAAATTCTCGAAAGATGAGAAATGTATTTCCAAAGACTCAAATTGTTCCTCTTGCTTTCCAAATCATATGTCTTTCAAAATCTAGATATCCTTCCCAAATTCAAGTATCCTACATGTATGTAATCCAGATGTACATATATTTATGTCTTCTTTATTCATTGGTTGCGTTTACGTTTGATATATCAAATCATGTTATTCTATTATTGTATATATTTATTATTTTATTCTATATCACATAGAAAATGTATATTCCCATGCAGAAACATTTAGATTGATAGCCCTTAGGGCAGTTATATTTTTTGTCTTAATTGATATAGAATTATTATTAGAATTTGATTGTACAAAAGACTTAAGTCTTTTGTTAATATAATAATTTTAAATTATTGTAGAATAAACGTCGACAATAACGTTAACATTACCTGTTAAATAATTATAAAACCGAATTATTTGTACATTACTTTGATAAAGATTATTTTTGAAAATTTGTCAAACATTTCTCTAAATATACTAATCACTTATCCATTAGTTACGTAGTCATAATTGTATTATTTAAATCATGTAATTTCAATTGTATTATATCTATTTTTTTATTCATCTATTCCTTACAAAACTCAATAATGAAAGAACTTTGAGCATCATTTGGTGTCAGAAATAAAACAATCATTTAAAAAAATGTTCTTTACAAAATTTCTAAACAAATTTTTGTTTATGGTAAATTAAATTAATGTGAAAATTGTAAAAAAACAAATAATTATAAAACACACGTAAATAATATACTATAATTACTATTGACTTTAGTATTTTTAATTGAGAAATAACAATTATACAGTGGAACAAGTTTAATCCGTTCTAAAATTTCCGGATTTTTACTCATATAGTGAAACATATTCAAAAATACACATATATGATTACACAAGTTTTAAAAATGATGTAGAAGACACGAAATCCGGGACTTCTTGTCTCATCGTCACTCGTTATGCAAAACGTCGCTCGTTAAGCGAGTCATTTTTCCTACAATTAATTGTGCTCGTTAAGCAAAATGCTCGTTATGCGAATTGCTCGTTAAGCAAGGTTCCAGTGTGTTCAGAATACAGAGAAAAAGAAAAAATGCATTTTTCTGTTTATAAAGTTAGCTGACGATCCTTTATAATTGGAAATTACATTTCGCCAAATTAAAAATTACTGGAGTATA